TATACTGCAAAGCGGTTAATAAATAAAATAAAGTTAGCTACCTATAATTATTCGAGATTGCACTTGGAAGTACTGGAATTACTCAACTTTTAAAGGGATTTACTAAATGAAAGTTGTAATTTATTGGGTGTATAGAACTAATATGATATGATATTTCATTGTCAGAATCATGCCGAAAATCTGTTACTTTACCAGTGATATCTAACATTTCCAAAGGAAAGAGAATGAGGACAAAAAATGATCGTTGTGGAAACGGAGGAACAATGAAGTATGAGATGAATGATTGACATTTTCCAAACTGTATATTTCTCAGATTTTACTAAGATATTCTATAATGTTACATTAGAATACATTTGATTGTCTCCAGTTGTGTTCTCAAGCACTACAATTATGTTTATTCATTAAAACTAAACACACTATTTAGATGACAGTAATGAAACTCTTAAGAAAAATTATAATTATTCATTCAGTATAAAAATTTATTTGAATAAACAGAATGAAAGTAGAAGAGAAATCGGTGAAACAATAATGTATGAACGACCTTTGAGTAACTCTACACTGATCTTGAGAGTATTAGCCTAATCACTAGAACCAAATGAAGGTCATAAACCAGTATGAGGAGTTAGAATTAAGATTTACATTTGATTGTTAAGGTCGAGAATTAGATTTAAGATTTTCATCATGAACTAACATCAGCTCTAATACCGAAATGTTATTTAACCAAATGGATGAGTGGATTTCGCGCTAAAATCCATGACCTGTTATCTTATACCTGAATTTTTTCTGGTTAGCGTTCTTTTAGCGAGTTAGTTTTCTACGGGATGAGGTCGCTTAACCCTCCTCCTTTATCCGGGCTTGAGACCGGTAGTAGCCCCAGAGGGGCTCCAGGTGGAGTTTATACTTGATTGGTTCGTCCATAAATTGTCTCTCCGAGGAATCAAATCTTATGTAACATAATTGGATCAAGTACACTGTATATGTTTTAGTGAGCCTATATCTGACTTCAATCGGATTGTATGAATGATTGTTATGGAAATATACATTCCGACTACCGTTGTATATAATCATCGACGGAATTAAATATGAGTCAAATATGAGAATAAAGTTTGAATAAGTATTTTTTGTACAGTCGTTGATCCGGAGAGACGATCAAAGAAACGAAGCGAAGAAAGAGAATAGGAGAGTGCGAAGTGAAACGGATCGAATGGCACGTGTGACCTAGCTCGATTTAACCAGGCTTGACTCAGTATTTATAGTCGAACAAAAACAAGTTACAGATACATAATGAGTAGGGTAAGAAGTTAGCACACATATGATCAAATAAATACAGTCAGGATTAATAAACGAATAAGTGACAAGGTAAGAATGTAGCTTGAGAAGAATGAATAGGTTAAGTCAGTCTAGAGATTTGAGGCTTGACATAGTACCAGCCCCTACAATGTCACTGTTAGACTTTTAGACATAGGAAATGACAGAGTATAAATGCATGCCATTTTCTTTTGAACAACTCATGTGTATTTAGATACTCATGGAGTAAGATACTCAGTTATGTCTGGGTTTCGTAATAGTTACTACTTATCAGCAAAGTATACGTGATGCTTTTTACAGAATCTGAATGTGCATCACTTGGTGTTACAGTAAAAGACATTATCACTAAGCTATTTCAATTGAGAACGAACTTATGTAGGACTGAGTGTTTAGTCTTTTGTGATAACCGTAATTCGAAGAGACTCCAATTTATGGACGACTTTTGAACTAATCCCAGGTGACCCTGAGAAATATCAGCCAATCAGCAAACAGTCAGTATGGAGTAAACAGATGTTATACAAAACCAAAGAATTAAAGTGGATACACTTCTTATACGTGGTTCAAAAACTTGTCAAGGTTAGAAAGAGGTTCAGAGGTTGCAAAATCGTAATGTATGCAATAGAGAAAATCATCCATACGGCTACAGAATAGTCGACCTCTGGATCCATGATAAAGTCTCAAATACTCTCAGCCTCGACCACATAACCTTGAAATCTCTAAAACGCCTCTGATTGGCTCGTCCATAAATTAGAGTGTCGCCACTAGTGATCATTTTGGTGAATTAAACAATAAATGGGGTTCTATTTTCATTGAGTCTTTTTTATATTATTATTAAGCCTGTTTTATATTCACTGTCCTCATTCACTTCCCATCAACTCTTTTGTGTATTGTTTTATACTACTTATTAATATTGAGTAAACAGTTGTTTTTCTGGTTAGTGTCACGTTGGCTACGCAAGATACTCAACATCCATTGGTCGGATACCATCATCGACATCCATCTGTGGAAAAGAACAAACAAGCTTCCAGTTGAAGAAGAAATTAGGGAAAAACGATGGAAATGGATAGGAAATACGTTACGCAAATTATCAAACTGCATCAAGAGGCAAATCCTAACTTGGAATTCTGAAAGGAAACGGAAAAGAGGAAGGTTAGATAGCACATTACGTAGGGAAATAGAAGCAGATATGAAAAGGATGAATAACAACTGTAAAGAACTAGAAAGGATTATCCAGGATAGAGTTGGATGGAGAGTGCTGGTGGGCGGCCTATACTCCTCCACGAGTAGGGATAGGCGTAAGTAAGTAAACAGTTGTATTCTAGATAATAAATACTATGAAACTGGTAGTAACATCCCTGGAAAGGGATAGATATGAGATCGCATAATATCACGGAACAGCTAATCAATGTTTACCATTCTTGAAATAATTACTACCTCCCACATTCACAGCCACATTTGACCAAATCTTGTATAAAATGTTGTTTTCTATTTTATGGTACGATGTGGTCTATTTGATTGGTGTATAAACCGAGTATTTTTGAATTATAATGATTCATATCACAGAGGCTGAAATTGATGTTCTGTACTTAACTGGCTGGGCTAGGCAGGAAGCAGAACCGATAAGGACTCTAGTCTGCTCGTACGTGTTTTACATGCCATTAGTCTGATTGATAATTCACTGTTTCCTAATTGGCGGTATCATTACGTTATACGTTAATAGGACATAGGGCACAAGCTATAACAAGAACACCAACTGAATCACAATAGCTAGAGAAACTTTGGCAGAGTAAGAAAGCTTCACGTACCTCATCGATGAAAAAGAAGGATGTGATGAAGATATTATGCATCATTGGTCCAATCGATAACTCACTGTCCTGTTTGGTGAAGACACTGATAAAATGCAGAGTCTTTTGGTAGCACTAAGCAACAATGACAGAATGTTTGAAATGCGCTTCTCTCCCTCGAAATGCAAGTTGTTGCTTCAGGACTGGTCTGCGTCAACACCTGAACTAAGGATAGGGAGTGAAGTAGTCGAACGCGTTGACAACTTCACTTATCTTGGAAGTCTGATCAGCCCTAATGGGTTGGTGTCTGACGTAATCTCAGCACGGATTCGAAAAGCTCGCTTGGCTTTTGCCAACTTGCGTCACCTTTGGCGAAGGCGAGATATCCGTCTATCAATAAAAGGACGAGTATACTGCGCGGCAGTTCGTTCTGTCTTACTTTACGGTAGCGAAACATGGCCATTAAGAGTAGAAGACACCCGTAAGCTTCTAGTATTTGACCACAGATGCCTTAGAAATATTGCTGGCGTCTGCTGGGATCACCGGGTAAGTAATAGTGAGGTTAAACGCAGGGTATTAGGTAATGATGGTAAATCAGTTGATGAGTTCGTTAATCTTCATCGACTGAGATGGTTGGGTCACGTGTTATGTATGCCCGAACAGCGATTATCACGACGTGCAATGCTAACCGGTGTTGGAGATGGTTGTAAGAAGGTTAGGGGCGGCCAAACCAAAACGTGGCATCAGTGCTTGAAGTCACTAACTTCTAGTCTGAACCATGTTGGTAGATGCAGACTACTTGGTTGGGGTCCACGTGACTATCGTAACCAATGGTTGGAGACTCTTGGTGACATGGCTCAGAATCGATCACAATGGCGTTGGTGAATAACACTGTCTGTCTTCCCTTAAACTATGAGATTAAAATCGCTTCATATCTTTCTTTCTACGAACTAATTCTTTCTTCATGTATTATATTCTTATACACAATCTTTCTTTTATATATTACCACCACCTCTAAATTAACTACTTTTATGAATCCGTTGTTCATCTTGTTGTGTTAATGAGGTATGGCAACTTGGACCGATGCATATATGTGCCTGGTCCTACGTTGTAGCTGACTGACTGACTGACTCACTGTTCTCTAATTGGCGGTATCATTACGTCATATATTGATAGAGACAGAAGGTCAAAAGTTATAAGAGAACAGTAATGCTCGTCTATTTCAATTAATTTTCATAAACCTCCTATTTAACTAGTAACTAATGTTCACATGTGAATAACTATTATTCTTTAAAAACAACAACCTATTTCACAAAGTTCAACTTAATGGGATACAATTCCTTTTGTTGATTTCAATTCTAATGACTCAAACATTCAAAGTGGATAACATTCAAAGATTTCTATGAATAATTAAAGCATAAATCATCAAAAGAAGTATAATATTTGATTGAGATCATGAACTGATTGATGTTGGACCACCACTGAAAACCTGACTGTTTCGTCCCAGTATGTGACTCTTCAACAGTGCGGGATCGTAGAGGAGTAGTTCCACAATTGAACGAAACGGTCATCCTATGCTTCTAGCTTTTCAATGGTGGGTAATCTAACATATATCAATCGGTTCATAATCTCAATCAATAACTTAATAATCTCTATAACTTCATATTGATAAGTGTAATCATTTAACAACATTCTCATTGAGATGAAACGATAATACATTAAACATTGGAATACGATTTCATTGTTATGTAATCCATTTATTAAAAGAATACCATATGTTGAATATTAACTATTGACATATTGAACATAAATATGAAGCTTTTGAAAATTGACCAATCATATTTCTTCTTGAATAGTTGTCTATTCAATATGCCTCTTTTCTTTTCGTTGTTGTTGTTGTCGAAAACTGACCAATCACAAAGAAGAATGATTTTCCCATAAACAAAGTTTATGATCATTTGCATATGTCTCAGTTACTTTTGTTTGTTACATTCTAATGAAGTTAAAACACCAATGTATCAATGTTAATCTATTATAGATCATAAACTATTCAATAGAATCTAATATGATGAATGAATCAAGAATATCTTCAAGAGTTAATCAACGAAATGGGAAATTATGTCATCATTTCAATGAAATAGAAAAAGATTATTCAATACATGATCTAACAGATGACGATGCTGCTGATGCTGCTGCTGCTGCTGATGATGATGATCATAACCATGATAGTCATCATTCAATATCATATTCAGAGGATGAATCTACTTTGAAATCAATCTATACAAACTCTTCTAAGAAATCTAATTTCTCTCAATTCTTATTTCATAAGGCAATAAATCTTTCAAAAAAACTTAAATATTATATCATGCATAGTATTACATTATTTCATGAAGATTTCTATGGTTTATCATGGTCAGAAGCAAATGATCGATTACAATCCACTTATGGATTATCTATTAATACCAATATGAATATCTCATCTAAAAATGATAGTAGAACATTACGTCATTTTAGTACATCTATATTACCAAATGATTGTACTACTACCAATACTACTCATACTACTACTCATACTACTACTAATACTACTACTGATACTACTACCAATACTACTAATACTACCCCTATGAATAGAATGCCACGTAGATATTCAGAAAGACATTCATTACAGAAACATTCAAGACTTTATCAATTAGATAAACCATATTATATACAATGTAAATTCATTGAATCAAATAGAACTCGATATGATACTACAAACAATCCAATATATATGGATTATAATTTAAAAAAGAATAATTTGCCAAAAAATCAATATCCAATCGATAAAATCAATAAACAATTTATCAGTAATCATGATCCATTATTCATGAATCATTGTTGTCATAGTAACAATCATGATTTAAATTTATTAACATTTAAAAAGAATGATAAACATAGAATTGAATATAAAGATGTAAAACAAATAGAAATAACAACTAATGTATTAAATGATCATCATCATCATCATCATCATCATTATCATCATGGAGATTATCAATCATTAAAGGATATAAAACATTGGTTGATACATTTAAAAGAAAGACGACGAAAAACTTCCATGGAATTACAGGTACTAAGTAATGATAATAATACTAATAGACGAATTCATAAATCCCTATCTGATTGATGGATATTCTATGTAAAACCATGATGAGGATGATGATGATTCGGATGATTCGGATGACGATGATGATGATGATGGTCAAACTCATTTGAATATATTGTACAGTGATCTTCAGTGATATTTGTTCATATGAAATAAAAGATCTTTGATATATATGCAGATATATAGATCATATGTATTTGGTTTATGAATAAGTATTGGTTAGTGTTTTGTATTTTTAATAAGATTGTTATCTATGAGATGGAGATGTTGACCCCATAAACTCAATCCTCATTCTTTATAGAGGATTTGGAATTGGTAGTAATCTTAGAAGAGTTACATTAAGATAGAACTACTGTATGAAGGTGAAATAGCTAATGAACACTTGGTATTGTTTGGCATGTATCTTTCCATTGACATTTAAGACTGCAATTAATCAGTCTGTCAAATTCACCCAATTGCACAAGTAAGTGGCTATCAGAACTCACTAGCTGAGTGGATAATGCGATGACGTTTGAAGCGAATGGTACTGGATTCGAGTCTTAGAGTGAATATCAACTCTCTGAGATGCAGGTACATTCAGCTGACGAGTCCCGAATAGAACGAAACGCGCGTCCTGGATTCCACTGCTAGCCACTATCCATCAATTAATGAACATTTTGCAAATGAAGTATTGGAGTATGGTTTTTTCTATTTTATCAAGTAACTCTGTAATTTTGTGACAAATATGATCGATTGTCCTCATTTACCACAGCAGTAGTAGTAATAGTGTGGCGAATACTACTTATATTGATAGATATCAGTAGTAAGGTGATGATGATGATAACCAGTATGGGGGTTGTGGAGGTTGTTAAGGTTTTTGGTTGAGATCATGAATTAATTGATGTTAGACCGCGCGGGATTCGAACCCAGGACCTACTGGCTTCGCGCCGGAGCACTTAACCATTAGACCACTGAGCCGGCATCCAATGGTGTTAGTGTCTAACATCAATCAATCCACGAAATTGCGCGACCACCTTCCATTGTACTGAGGTAGATCGTGGATGCGCACTGCTGAGGAGTCCCATACTAGGACGAAACGGCCGTCCAGTGCTTCCAGGTTTCCAACGGTGGTCTAACATCAATTAATTCATGATCTCAACCAAGATGATGATGATAGTTCGATAATGCAAAGGTGAATATGAGATCAGAGAAAATGAAGAGATCATTTGTATTTCTCTATATTGTCACACATACTTTGTCTCCTTCTGGTGATAATGACTGCCATTGTGATGTATTATTTCTTCACACTTATCATCCATGTTTGACAGTGTTCCATTTTAGAAAGAAAAGTAAACAGCAACATCAAATTCTATATAAATGATGACATTTTACTATGAATAATAGTTTGATTGATCATGGAAATCTATGGAAGACACATAATACGAACACTAATGGTCTTACTTGATTAGAATGAAGACTCAACAGTGAGATATATTTTATAGTGACGAATTGGGATTCACATGTTAGGTTATGTGACTCTGATTCAGTCATGACATATACATTCTAATGCTTGTTCAACTAGATATACAGTTTAAGAAGACTAAGTGGATGTAGGAAGCTTTGATGTATGATGAATAACTTAAGTGTATATTCATTCAACCTATGATATAGGATGAACTGTTTTAGACTGTGATTGTGGGTAATGACTTTGGTCAGATGAATAATATATTCCCTCCTCCAGACTTTGAGTAACTCAATTAAATTCTATTTTGGTGAAAATGGATCAATCAATGTTTACATGGTGTTTTAAACTTTGTTTATCTCTTGGAAACAGCGGACTTATTTGATCATACTTACCTTGTAGGATAGCAATAAAATCCGAAGGTTTGATTCCCATCAGTTTTGAACTTATCAGCGGACAGCATCTAGATATTTGGGTGGATATTCACATGGTTACTACAACATTATGTATGTCATATCAAATCCTTACACATTATTCTATGAGCCTCCAAGTCCACAATCATACTAAATTGTTCAACGAGCATGATGATGTTAGTAATTGTTTTCAATTTACATCTGTCCTTAATAATCAACACTGAAACTTACTTACTTACCCCTGTTACTCCTAATGGAGCATAGGTTGCCCACCAACATTCTCTAATCCACTCTGTCCTGAGCCTTCTTTTCTAGTTTCATCCAATTCTTGTTCATTTCTCTCATGTCTATTTCCATTTCCCGGAGTAATGTGTTCTTTGGTCTTCCTCTTTTGCTTTGGCCTTGAGGATTCTATGTGAGTGCTTGTCTTGTAACATAGAACACTGAGACTAGTTGATCTGAATTGGGAAATGTTTATCCTGAATGGATAACCTCGTTCGTATCTCCTCATTTCTACAGCAATTTGGAAGACTCTCCCGGTCTCCCACATTGTACGAACATTCCATGTACCTAAATAAATGGTTGCTCTGGTTGTCAGAAGGGGCGTCGGCCTCGTGACTTCCGAAGGAGCTCGGCTTTCATCACGAGGCGTCATAACTCTTCTAAATGAAAACCTTCTGACTCCCAGGGCAGAGTTTAAAAGGTTTGAATAATTTTTTCTGGTTAGCGTTTTTTTGGCGAGTTAGTTTTCTACGGGATTGGGTCGCTAACCCCATGCCCAACCCTCCTCCTTTATCCGGGCTTGAGACCGGCAGTAGCCCCCGGAGGGACTCCAGGCGGAGTTGGATAACCTCGATATTACTTTACAATGACAAGTTTTTAGTATATTCGAATAATAATGTATAGAACTATGAATGAAACTGGTTTGGATTATTATAGCAACAGTTGTATGAAACTTGATCGGTTAATAAATTGAAGCCACTGAAGAATGACAATATTTGTCTAATGAAATGAATTCATTCTATATTGATGATTCTTTGTTGTTAGTTGCAAACCGTCTACAACTATGAGGAATGGTATTAGTTGTAAATGAACTTTTACTGATTTCAATCAGTGATGTAAAGTTGTAAACTGTATAGGAGGACATGAGAAACAGGTAGAATATACAGGAGCAGGTTGTTCTTGTTACTATTCAACAGGTTTTAGAGTCGAACAATTCAATAGACATAGTTTGATGATGATAATAATAAGGCGATTCATTTTATGTTGCATTTTTTTCTTTAAAATTATGTATCACTCGTTGGTTTGATTGTAGTGTGGCCTCGAGTCGCGGTTGACTATGATCGCCACTATAAGAAGACTAAGTGCCAGTAAGTACCGTAAGCCAAATACCAGAAGGCAGTTGATGGCTGTAGTCGAAATGTATTTGTTGGCGATCCCGTGGTATCAAAAGAATACCGAGATCGTGCCATGTTACAAGTGTGGTTACTGAGCGTAACCGAATTCGTGCAAGGTCACAATCAACGGAGGAATGTATGTGCTTTGGTACAGTTAAACAAACAAGTACGGTAAAACAATCCCTGGTACAATTGGTTATAATAATAATTGTTTCCATTATACCAATCGCGTTCTCTTGATAAAAGTAGGTCACTACAAGATATTAATGAAAACTTGATGTATTAATGATATGAATCAACTCTCAATAAAGATCGTTTAAATGCTACAAATAAGTGGCACATACCATGAAAAGTTCTGGAAGATTGATTAATTTTACAGTGCCTCCAAATGCACAAGGGCCGAGGGTGAAAAGAATCAGCTCCCTCTCTACAAAATACTTTCACGTGGTCACTGTCAGAGAAGTCCTGCTCACTGCCTTCTCGAGATAGGGGTGTTCTCTACGAAGTTGACAGGATGAATAGCGAATGTCCAGTGCTTTAATCGGGTTGATGGAAACGGAGGGTTCACCTAGAGGAGTTGGAAAATCCTCATTCCAAACAATTGATATACATGAGTTCCAGGATCCTGAGGGAACAAATGGCGTGTGAACTAATTATTGATCACCGTTTACCGTGTGACTACATCTCCTTATGTTGTTCCACTACCTTGTAGATCAGACCTTTAGGTCGAAGGCTCCGGGTGTGGCCGCCCAAGAAGACCACCTATTTCAGTCTGGGCACTCGGATATTATCCTAGCTCACTCACAAATCAAGTGACTTGTGTGATGCATATGTATTCAGTGCCCCTTTGTATCGATATTTATATATTCAAATAAATAATGAATGTAAATTACAAAATAGAGAGAGAGATAGAGATTGGAGAAAATGTTGTATAGGGATAAGCTTAAACGATTCTTAAAATGATCAAGTGATTTCCAAACCATTATATTAGTCCATTTAATAGAGAGTTTGTAGAAATAGGATGAAATGTGCTTCCTGGATTGTACTGTTAGCCACCATCCATCTTTGTTAAGAATACTTGTGAATTAAGACCATATCGAAGCAATACGAACAGTATAATAATAACAGACTGGTCAATTTCAGTCCTAAACATCAATCGGAAGATTCAAGTAAACAACATCAAGTGAATATAAACTTCACTCCATAGTACAAGCACGTGGCTATCAGAACTCAGTAGTTAAGTAGATAATACAATGGCTTTTGAAGCGAACGGTACTGAGGTCAAGTCCCTCCCGTAGTAAACATCAACTCTGAGATGCAGGCACATTCAGCTGACGAGTTGCAAATAGGATGAAACGCACATCAAACTGGATTCCACTAATAGCCACTATCCATCTTTGCATATAATACTTGTGAATTAAGGGCATATCGATGCAATACGCACAATATGCAAATATGCCAATAATAATAATATCGCAGATTAAAATCATGAGTCAATTGAAGCTAGACCTTCATGGAAGACCTAGAAGTCCTAGTATGGGACTCCACGACCCCGCCAACCGCGAGACCCGAACCTGAGACCTATCAATCTCGTGCCAAGCTCTTAACCAACTAGACCACCGAGCCGGCATCTAGTGGTGTTAATGTCTAACTACAACCAATCCATGAAGTTGCGCCATCATACACCATTGTCTTCAGTGAGGTGACATCTCACAACAGACCTGTTTGTGGTCTAGTTGGTTAGGCGCTTGATGCGAGACTGATAGGTCTTGGGTTCGAATCTCGCAGTTTGCGGGATCGTGGATGCGCACTGCCACTGTGGAATCCCATACAAGGACGAAACGGCCGTCCAGTGTTTCCAGTTTGTCCATGATGGTCTAGCTTCAATTGAATCATGATTTCAATCTGTGAACTTTCTAAAAATCTCCACAAACCCC